CGTGTCAGCAATCTGAAATAGGAAATTATATTGACAAGACTTTCGGACCACTCTGTATATGAAGATAAATGACTTCTATATAAATGATATTCTGTATGAATTATATTGACATGACCTCCAGATCATTAAAGGAAAGAATAGACGAACATCGGCGTCTTTGAACCAAGGTAATAAAAAATAAAACCGACTGAAAAAAAAACCCAAGAGAAGTCATCAGCAATTGAACTTCCCGCCATCAAAGAAGATCACAAAGTGGACTTCGACCAACCTGAAATAATATTGACCAGAATCTGTCTATATTTCTGAGATGAGGTATTATGTACCCTATTTACATTATTCAGACTATTGTTCTCATCTTTGTTCCCATATTTATTACAACGTTTCGGCCTTTCAGTATCTGTCTATATTTCCGAGATGAGGTATTATGTACACTATTTACATTGTTCGGACTATCATTCTCATCTTTGTTCTTATATTTATCACAACGTTTCGGCTGTTGTACGCACGGGCCTTCTTCAGGCGGTTGGCCGAAACGTTGTGATAAATATGGCAACAAAGATGAGGATGATAGTCCTAACAATGTAAATAGTGTAATATTGACCAACCAACACCAATTCAACCAAAGACGGGTAGTTCAACAAATGATAATAGCAAGTACCGAGAATGTCTGTAATAGAATTGATGTTTCATCCAGTATGGACTTCCGTACTTCGATGGAAAATACGAAAATAAATAGGAGTATTTTTTTTTCTACTCTGATTTGGAAATAAGATTTCTTTCTTTAAGCAATTCTCACGTTTTCAGCTTACGGATGTCTCGTGGACTCAATTCGATCGAATTTTTTTTTTCTGTTAATTTGAATTTATAACAAATACAATGTAGCCTAGTCACTATTTCATTTATTTCTCAAGAGTGATCAAGGATTGCAAAAAGCTTTCCGAAATATATGTTTTAACAATAAATTATCCGTTGGAATTACAAGTTTTTATTCTTTTTTAATAAATAACTTCTGTCTGAAGTTCTGCGATGATTATTGAGACGATTTATATTCGGACTATTATCCTCATCTTTGTTTTGTTGTTATCACACCAGTTCGGTCATTGTGTCCCCCAAGCCTCTATTGTTGTATAGCTTACCTCTTCTTCTCCCAGCCGGTTTTTGGTTCAGCGATGAAAGACATCAACAGAGCTAATTTTAACTTGACGTTTATGTCGACATTTTCTATCTATACAGTGGGGATCGTCCCCCACACCACTCCACTCCACTCCACCGGGGAGTCGTTTCAGGCACGCAAGAAAACATGCCTACATTGTTTGACGGTTCAGAAACAACTCACTGAAAAACCCTTTCATTCCCACGCTGGCTCAGCCAATCAAAATCGACTTCCTTGTTTTGTCTTCCATTTGACCTCAAACGTCAACCCAAGGAAGTCCGAGCAGAGATACACTTCCTCTAAAAAAAAGTCTGCTAAACTATTATTTAACAGGTGTATATCGATCTGGTTGACCTACAAGGAATTCTGGCCCTGAACCCTTTATTTAATATACGGGGTTAGGTTGTTTCAGTTCTTCTGCCCATGTCTAGAGATATTTCGTCTAGTTCTTATTCTTAGTACTGCTCATTTATTTCGAACTGTTTCCGCATACGACTCGGCTCAAGTATTGAACTCGCAATTACTATGTCAACAAATTCACACTAGGCTAATGTCTCGTGGGAATTAACCTTAAAATATTTTTGTTTAACAAACAATTGTTTTCTGTTTGAATTTCTGGTTAAAGGAGATCAAAACACCTCAACGTACGAATCGCTTACGAATAAATTTTTTTTTCCGTCGCTTTCACTTTCTTTCTTTCTTACTTTTTTCTTTTCTTTTTTTTTTTTTTTTTTTTATTTCTTTTTACACTTTTGCTTTGCTTTCTTTTTTCTCCACTTTGTAATTTTTATTTTGTTTTATTTTTCTTTCTTGGTCCTTTTCTTTTCTTTCCTTCGTTCAACTTTTTTTTCCTTTTTTAATTTTGATCTCTTTTTCCATCTCCTTGATCCTTTTCTTTTCTTTTCTTTCCTTCGTTCAATTTTTCTTCCTTTTTTTATCTTATTTTTCCTCGTTCTTGTTCCTTTTCTTTCTTCCGTTCTGTTTTTTGCCTTTTGCTATTTTTCTTTTGTTCTCTTTTCCTTATTCTTGTTTCTTTTCTTCTTCCTTTTCTTTCTTCTTGTTATTTTTCTTTTTTTTCTTTCTCCTCATGTTTGTTTTCCCTTTCTTTCTTTCGTTATTCTTAACTGAACTCATTATTTAATCTACTGTGTTGCAAATAACTTTCCAAACAATCGTTTTTTTAAAATTATCTACTGTTATGTTCAGTCTACGTAAATAATTTTATATCAGAATTTTCTCTAATCTTTCTGCTTAAATATGGCAGAGACACTTTGACGACAAAATTTTGTTTTGCACAAGTATTTACCCCATTACATGCCGATTTTTCACTAAATTAATTGTACATGCTTAAAACTAGTCACCTCCACCCCCCCGCAAAAAAAGCCAGAAAAAAAAGATACCTAAGGTTTAAAATTAAATTTTTAAAATGAAATATCTTTCTTGAAGTTTTTATTTTGGTTTTAATTTCAAGCTAATACATTAAATTTAATATTTTCAATAAGCAAAATACTTTGCTGTATTTCAAATACAAATTTAAAAATACCGTATTTTTTTTTTTTATTATTACCGGGCAGAGCGGGGTCGGAGTGGGGTTCTCATTCGGAGCTCTGTCTACAGACGGAAAATCGGTCGAGAAGATTAGACAGTAAATGTACCCGATCCCACGAATGCGAGGGCTGGGTAAATTTTGTCCATTGGCCCGAGTGGATACGCTCGGGTTCCCCCACAGTAATTTCGACCTTCTGTCACATCTCATCCCATTGGGGGGACTGGGTAAATACCGAGTTCATTAAAGCTTACTGATAAACAAATACGTACTGTCTCGAACAATTCTGCTCCACCCCCATTTCCAAGTGTGTATAGGATTGCCTTTTTCTGTGATGTCAACGAACATTCGTTGCCACTTTTGTGATGTCAACGAACACTAATTTCCACTTTTGTTAATCCTCTTCTTCTCCCTCCAGCTATGGGTAAACAGCAGGACAGACTATAGCCTTGGATGGCAACTGGTCTAGGAGAAGGAAAAACTCTGAATTCAAAACCTGCGGAGGGTCGTTTGGGGACCTTGTGGCACATAGTGCACCAGGTCTCTGTATTCGGCCCTTCAAAAAGTGTGGATGGTCCTGCACAAAAACTTCACCACTATAATCAAATCTCATGTGCTATACATGCGGTTGGGGACCGCTTGTGAATTCCAAATTCCCATGAATCTCCAATATTGGAGCCGGCTCAACCCACCTCGGGTGAATGCCGTTACAGGTAGTGTTGTAGAGTAGTTTCACAGTGGAAGCTTGTATTTCACTAAGTCGGTCCTAAAATAGGTTCGACGTACAAAACGTTAGGAACTTGATAATGACGCAGAGAAATCTAGTGGTGGTCGCTGATACTTTAATATCCAACTAACGATCGTCCGACATCGACTGACTGACCAACTCACTGAGTCTATTTAGTCACTGCCCCACGAAGTCACATGTGGCACAAGGCCGAGTTTAATGTGGGGTTCCCGAGCCCGTAGGCTCAGCCAAAAATATGCCCATTGAACCCGTATAAACGAGTTCAGTGCCGGTTTACCTCCCCGAAAGAGACTCCGCCCTTCGGCATAGCCTCCTTCGGGTTCCTCTCCGCCCGAAGGCAGAGAGTTCAACCGAACAGTCGGTCGTCCGACTTCAGACTGAACTCGGACCAACTCACTGAGCGACTGGCGACTGCTACTACTCCTACTTATTATAGGTGGGAGAGTTTATTAACAATAGAATAGGTGTGTTTCACTATAACATGTAGGTAGGTACTTTTGTGATGTCAGCGAATACTCGTTGTCACTTTCGTAATGCTCGTTGTAGTAGAGACTTTGTAATTGCAGATACAACTATAGTAACGCCGTTGAACAATACTGGTGTCAGACGCCTTCGAATATCACTCGCACTAATTCTTGTCTGTTTTCTGAATCGTGTCTTCGTTGCTAGACGGTTCCCCGACTGAGTCTCCATCTGCCCGAAGACCGAGAGCTTGACAATCAGAGCCACGCAGCGGAGAGACTAGCTCCCTTGATCTTTAACTAGCTCTGCATATCAGCAGAGTTCTCCTGAATATAAGTGTTCAGGACAGATCCATTAATGGGGGAGATGGATTATACCATATTATCCCCTGCCTTATTCTTACAAAAGGGAAGAACTCTTTGAATCGAGCAGGAATCCTTTGCTGTATGTGAGGCTGTGGTGGATTGCCAGGAGCATGATGAGGTTCTTCTTCTTTTTCGCTAGAAATGGATTTAATCCTGTTGCGATTATGTAATCTTATACGACTTGCTTGCTCGTTCTCTGGTGTATTGGTAGGTGGGTGGGCTCTATTCGGTGAAACCCGTTCGTCACCACTTTCTGTTTCTTCATAATCAGTTGAAGTGTCTGAGGATGACCCTCGCTTAGGCCTGTGGGTTCCGATTCATCCCCTGCTAGAGCCTGGTCTCCCAGTGAGACTGTGTCTTCCCTTCCATCAGGGTAACGAATACGCGCGTACTGGGGTTTGGCGTCTAGAAGCTCCACTTGATCTACCAGTGGTTCGTTCTTATTCATACACGTGTGTCTTTTTGGTAATGCAGTGTAACCCGGATATAAGAGACCCGGATATAAGAGAAACCCGGATATAAGAGAGATTTTCTCTGGTCACAAATTAGAGTCTGTGTTAATGTATATAAAATAGACCAAACCCGGATATAAGAGAAACCCGGATATAAGAAACTTCGTCTCCGGTCCCGACAACTCTCTTATATCCGGGTTACACTGTATCGCTCCCGGTCTCGAGAGCCAAGATAGGGTGTTTATTTAAAATTAAATATACAGATTTTTCCCCTATGATAAAGTTGGGGGGGGTTGTCGAAGGTGGGGGAGACGTTAATTCGAGGAAATGTATCGCTATATTTCGATCTTTCTTTTCTCTCTTTAGTATTTTCTTTTACTTTATTATATCGCTTTATTTCATTCTTTCTTTCTTTCTTTCTTTCTTTCTTTCTTTCATGCCCAGACCTTCCTTCTGTTCTGTTCTGTTCTTTCTTTCTTTCTTTCTTTCTTTCTTTCTTTCTTTCTTTCTTTCTTTCATGCCCAGACCTTCCTTCTGTTCTGTTCTGTTCTTTCTTTCTTTCTTTCTTTCTTTCTTTCTTTCTTTCATGCCCAGACTTTCCTTCTGTTCTGTTCTGTTCTTTCTTTCTTTCTTTCTTTCTTTTCTTCAATGTCTTTTTCTCTTTTTTTATTTCGTTTTCTTCTTTTTCCTTTTTTGTTTTCTTCTTTTTCCTTTCATTTTTTTTCATGTTCTTTTATCCATTGGCATATTGTCTTTCTTCCTTGCGTAATATATATTAAACAAAGGAAGAACATTTACGAAAGAAAGAAAATATTCTCTAAAGAAATAAAGAAAGAAGAATGAGAATTTAATAAAGTAAGGAAAATTCCTTATTTTGGTAAATTTTCATTTTTCTTTCTTTTTTTTCTTTTGAGAATATTTTCTTTCTATTGTAATTTTCTTTTTTTCTTTCGTTTTTTCTTTCATAAACTTTCTTTTAGCTTTAGTAAATATTTTTCATTTTTTCATATATTTTCTTTCGATAGTAAAATCTTTCATTCTACCTTTTTCTTTCTTTCTTTCTTTCTTTCTTTTTATTACCCTCTCTTCCTTTCTTTTTATATTTCTAGCCACTCTTTTTTCTCTTTATTCTCCCTTTCTTTTCTCCCTCTCATCTTTTCATCTTTCTACTCACTCTTTTTTTCTTTCTTTCTTTCTTTCTTGTTAGTTTTCCCTTGTTTTTTCTTTCTATCCACGTCTTTATCCTTTAGACTTTTCCATCTACCCTTTCTTTCTTTCTTTCTTTCTTTCTTTCTTTCTTTCTTTCTTTCTTTCTTCAGTAATTTTTCTTTCTTTCTTTCATATATTTTCTTTGTCATTCTTATATTTTCTTTATCTTTCATAATTGTTACTTTCGAATATATTCCTCGATACATATATATATATATATATATATATATATATATATATATATATATATATATATACATATATATATATATATATATATATATATATATATATATATATGTATATATATATATATATATATATATATATATATATATATATGGTCTGGTGCCCCTTCTGTTTGCCTCGGTGTTCTTGATAGGCTCCAGAGGCGTATATGCAATATAATTGGCCCTGCTCTGGCATCTCGTCTACAGTCACTTTCTCACAGACGCGCCGTCGCCTCCCTCTGTCTGTTCTACAAATACTTTCATGGTAACTGCTCCGAGGAGCTGCATTCGCTGGTTCCCAGACTTCATGAGTTCAAGCGCACTACGAGGATGGCATCCCGCTCTCACCATTTCACTGTCGAAACTCCTAAATATAGCCGTCTCTTCTACTCCAATAGCTTCATGTCTCGCACCTCTCGCCTGTGGAACTCCCTTCCCTATTCCAGTTTCCCTGAGAGCTATAATCTCCAGCTATTCAAGTGTAATGTCAATCGACATCTCCAGTTGCCTTGATCTTTCCACTACCCTCCTCCTCACCCTTTCTTCTATCACACCTATCTGATCTTGCTCTAAATTTTCTGTAACCTCTTGCGTCCTAGTGGCTCCCCGCCTTGCTTGTGGTGAAATGCTTATAATATATATATATATATATATATATATATATAATTTATTGTCTATATTTTTAATTCTTTAGAAAATAATTTTCTTTCTTTTGAATGTTTTCTTTCTTTAATAATATTTCTTTTTTTGCTCTTTTTTCTTTCTTTCCTTCTTGAATATATTTCCTCTTCCCTTTTCATTTTATACTATAATTTCTTTCCTTTTTTCTTTATCTTTCTTTCTTTTTTCCTTTTTCATTCTATCGTATAACTTTTTCCTAAATTTCTTTCTTTCTTTCACAAAATCGTGTTATTGCATCTCAATAACAGGACTTTTCAATGTTTCTCTTCATTTCCGTTTTTGTCTTGACCAATAAATAATATTTTCTTATTTTTTTAAATTTTCAACGTGATCCACTCTCAAATGAAACAAACAGATAAAAAATAAAACAAAAAAAAAAAACGAAAAAAGAACAAAAGGGGGCGTTTACAGAAAACGGTGCTAAAAATATAACGGCATGGAATAAAGGCGGAAGGGGAGTGGGGGAACTGAATGAAAATAAACACGAATTCAGCGAGAACGAGTCTGGAGTTTTCGCCGTTGGTAAGCAGCGTCTATGTGAGAAATTGGCGCCTATTTAATAAAAGAACTAACCTCGTCCGGCCCTTGCATTGGTGTCACACGATGGGCGGAGCGCTTGAGGAAAACGAGAAAGGGTCAAAGTTGAACTGAGAAGAAACCGCAGGGTAGAACAGTATATCTATCTATCTATCTACACACGTACAATATCTATCTATCTATCTATCTATCTATCTATCTATCTATCTATCTACAATATATATATATATATATATATATATATATATATATATATATATAAGAACACTCAGAGGCGACAGGCTGTTTCATGATGGATTGCGCCTCTGAGTGTTGACTTCAATGTTCACTTTTATATTTATATTTACATACGCTCTGTCTCTGATATTGAGCACTTTATCCCATAAATATAGCACACCTTAAAACTATATTTCTTCATATATATATATGTGTGTGTGTGTATGTGTGTGTGTGTGTGTGTGGGAAAATATGTATATATATATATATATATATATATATTTTTATATTAAACATTTTTATGTTATACATTCTTTTTATAGATACAAATATTTAATAAATGCTCTGTTTATAATAAACAGTATTTAACAACATTTACCGGCCTGAATGTCCGAGAAATTTCGTTCACTTAGCCCTTCTCTATGGTGCTGAAACTTGCATCCTGTACCGCAAGCACATGAATCAACTTGACGCCTTTCACATGCGCTGTCTTCGTGCCATATGTGATATAAAACGGGATGGCAGGGTCAAGATTAATGCAATACTGTAGAGATGTAACAACATCACAGGCATTGAAACCATTCTAGCAAAGATACAATTTAGGTCGGGTGGATGAGCATATGCTTCCAAAAAAAAAAAAAGCTTCATCAAGCTCTGAAGCAGAGAAGCCATCATAATCCTGCTTTAACAAATTTCATCTGTCAGTGTGGCTTTGTCGCCCTCAGCAAGGCTGGGCTAGTATCACACTTAAAACACAAACGAAATATCCCTTACCTGATTTTCTCTACAATATCCCCTACTAGCATGCATATGTGTAAAACAAAAGCCACTATCCAATATTGACCATATATTGTTCACGATATATATATATATATATATGTGTGTGTGTGTGTGTGTGTGTGTGTGTGTGTGTGTGTGTGTGTGTGTGTGTGTGTGTGTGTATAAAATGTATTTCGGTAGCAAGAATTCTCTCAAACATGTTTTGTGAAATAATATAGACAAGTTATGTCTATCATTTTTTAAATTAAATCTTTTAAATTTCCGAATAAGTTGGTTTGTATTATCGGCAAATTTGCAAAAATTCATATTAATTTTTATTTTATACCAGCTTAAAAGCCGCCCTATCAGGCTAGCTACGAAGACCTTTTGTTTGAGCCCTCGGCTTGTTCAGGAGTATGAGAGTCCTTAGGTCTTTGCATATTCTCAGCATTGGAAGCTCTCTTGTCTGCCACTTGATCTGGGATTTCATTTGCACGGTACTTTCTTTTCATCGCTGCAGCCTTGGCTCATTTAATTGCAATCTGGTCCTCTGTTGATGGAGATTTCTTTTTGTGAGCCATACTGCTACCGTATGCGATAGGCAACAATATACTACAGAAGAACCCAAAATGAATCGCTTAATTGTATTAATATTTGAGCTTACCTTTTAAAAGTTCAACGATAATTCTTCTGCCGCAACTTAATTTAAAGAGAATTTGATGTACGTAGGTCCTTAATTTCCGGACAAACAATTATTTCGCTTGATTTCGCAATTAATTTCGATTATTCCCCAAATTTATTTCCAAGTTATAAAAAGTGTTATCGTACAAAAACTAGTCGCAAAGAATCACGTAAAAACCACCGAAAACAATTGCACTAATGAAAACTTAGGAATCCAAAATTTCTGTAACCTGTGTTATTGAAAGTTAGAGAAGTTGTGCCCCATTAATTGAAAAAGTATGACACAGTGACACAATGATATTGGCATCTATTATATAGAAGAAGATGGGCTATTGAAAGTTGTATTCCTTTAATTGAAAAAGTGTGACACACTGACACTGGCATTTAGATTATTTTTCTTCGAGTACTTTCGAATGATACTCTATTCGTTTACAAGGATTTTTCTGTGTATAGTTACGCAGCAGATCTTTAATTCCGGCGTTCTGACATTTGATGGAATCCATTTCAACTAACTCAAGGTAATGTCATATAAATGGACAAACTGAATTTTTTATGTGTGTGTGCGTGCATGTCTATGCGCGTGTTTAAACACACTTCAATAAACCGCCCCCTATGGAGAAAGCCAACTTATTCAATGTTGGCTGCTTCCTTTTTATTACAACAGCCTCCAGAATTTGGAGTTTTTTTTTTTTTTTTTTTTTTTTTTTTTTGCACTGTGTCCTGTCTAAAATTTTGGTGTTGTCAACTAAAATTTATTATTTTGTCTGTTTGTCACATGTTCATCTACACCCTTGAAACAACCGCCTTAGTTTAATTGCTTTCACCATACGGTCAGTTTTAGACCCACTCGAGTAACAGGGTGTAATTGATTTCTATTTTTTCTTCAGACTAGGTCATTTCCAGTGGTGTGCAATAATATGAATCTATTTTCGGAGTGTATGATGAAATTTTTTTGGCCTTGAAAAATATTGCATCATCCGTGATTCCATCAGATTTTTATCACGCCCAGACACTATTGTCTCGACTGTCGATTAGTTGTCCTACGACCATTGTCTACGATGGACATTGCTCCAAGGATGCGTACGAAAATTGTAGCGCTATACGAACATACTGGCAAGCCCTACCAGTGAGCAAAACAAACTCATATAGACTGGGCCGGAAACTCTCCTGATTTGAATCCAATCGAGAATCTAAGGTCAGTCTGAAGGAACGACATCGTGGAATGGACTTACGAAGTAATAACGTGTGCACTGTGTTATGTTTCATTGGAAAAATATGAAAAAGTAAATAATAACGGAATTATTTGTTTTTTGTTTCAATTAATTTACACAATGGTGTATATACACACACTACATTACCAAAATTTTAAAACAGCTAACCTTATCATAAAAAATGACAACACCCGCAGAATAAAAACTAGAAAGAACCAACATTATTTGCGAGTTCAAATGCTCCTTAAGGAACCGTGTTTCTGATCTAACCAAACTCATAAATAATTACTTCGGTCACACTACTACATGCCTATCTAGACGATTTACGTTGCACTTACTCGACCATAGCTCAATTAGTACTCATTTAAACACATAAAGCCTTATGAGTGACAAAAGATATTCATAGATGGTAACCCACGACCTCACGTTAACTTAAAGATAGTAATCTTTTAGAGTACGACATATTCTAAGTACAATGTTTATATCATGTTTTATTCTCGTTTTTCATTGTTACAATTAATAAAAATAGTAAGCGTATTTTGGCACCCCTCTTTTCATTTCCCTTAGTGCCTCGTGTCTATATGTTTGGGTGCTCCTTAGGGTAGGGGGTCATTATAATATAACAACCCAACATCTTCCTTTCTTGCGTTTCCTTGTTTTATTCTGATAACTAGGGTTTTAGATAGCGATCGGATAACTGAGATGAGTTAGTGCTCTTGGCAAGGGTTGGAACAAAACGTGCCGCGAAAAACGTCCAGACACACGCCAATGGGGAACAAGAGATATCCCGAGATGGTTACCCACGAAACATACGTTAAATTAAAGGTAGTAATTTTTTTAGATTACGACCGTCACGTATTGTAAGTACAATGTTTATGTCATGTTTTATTGTCGTTTTGCGTGATTACAATTAAATAAAAATGGTAAACGTAATTTGACACCCTTATTTTCATTTCCCTTAGTCCCTCGTATCTATAAGTTTGGGAAACCCTTGGGATAGGTAGCCGTTCTAAAATATCGACCCGACATCAGTATTCTTCTGTAAAACCGCATTGCCTCAAGTCTCTTCTTCATCTGAAAGAAAATTGTCTAACGTTCAATGGAAATTTGCACTATATACATATCAGCATTTATCTTAGTGCTTTGCTTAGTTTCTGGTAGGCATCTTTCCTTAATCCCGTGTGTCTTCAGATTTATCTGGTTGAAGCTTTATTTTAATACAAACAGGAAGCAAATAGAAAAAATGGCTGAAAAGAATGCGGTCATTAATACTAAATTAGTGCCAAAAAAAAAAAAAAGTACTTTAAATTGTTCCCAGGCAATGATTCGGTACTACGAAATATCCACCGACCCTCCAGGACAATTGGTTTGAAACAACGACTCGGAGTCGACCGAAAGACTATGTTTATCGATATTTGTGAATTCTTCCTTCATGTTCCGAGTGTTTTTGGTTACTTCTGCTACTGACAAGGTCTTCTCGAACAAACAATTGATCTGGAATCTCCTTTTCGGGTTTATATCATTTCTTCATCATGTTTTTTTTTTTTCTTCGTAACTAATGGCGACTTGAAGCCGATATTTCTGTTTAACAATTATTTTTTTTTCTTGAATTTAGGTCTTTTTTTTATTTGTGTTATTGGGGAAATGGCGCCGATCTAATAAGGTGTCATTATTAATCATTGTTCGTCGTGCGAATTGAAAGGAGGAAAAGGAAGAGGATAAAAAAAGACGTCGCGGAAAAGGGGAAGAAACAAATATACAGAAAGAGAAGTGGAGAGAAGGCATACAGGACGAAGGGGGAGATAGTAGTCGGAGGAAGATGAGAATAATAGCAGTGAAAGTGAAGGAGGAGAGTGAGAAGTAGAAGAGATAAAGAAGGGGAGAGACAAGAGTCGAAGAAGGAAAGGAGAGTGTAAAAGAAAAGGCCATTAAAGAAATTAAGAGAGTAACATGGAAAGAGAAGCGGAATAATCATAATAATAAAACTCACATAATAAATCAAATCCATATATAATTTCTATGCTGTCTTGCTATCTATCTATCTATCTATCTATCTATCTATCTATCTTATTCTTTTCATATTTATCAGTCTGTCAATCGTATTCCGTTCATATCTATCTATCTATCTATCTATATTCTTTTCATATTTATCAGTCTGTCAATCGTATTCCGTTCATATCTATCTATCTATCTATCTATCTATCTATCTATCTTATTCTTTTCATATTTATCAGTCTGTCAATCGTATTCCGTTCATATCTATCTATCTATCTATCTATCTATCTATCTATCTATCTATCTTATTCTTTTCATATT